AGGAAAGGGGGAGAAGAAATTAAAAAAAAGTATTTGAATGTCAGAGCTGCAATTTCTTTTCTTCAGAATAGCAGAAAATGAAGAGAGAAGAGTCTGAGCTCAGGCTGGGTCCTGCTTAGACCCTTTGAAATAGTGGATGCTGTAGGAAATCTCATCACAACTGCATCTCCAGGTAGCTTTGTAGCACTTTGAATTCTACAGGTGATGGAAAAGAAAGAGGAAGGCCAGAACTCAAAGATAGATTCAGGAGAGGACCTGGTGACTGCTGTAGAAGGAAAACTGAACTCCAGGGGTTGCATTTTACATTTGTGAGGAAGATGCTAAATGCTCCTTGTAGCTTTGGTGCAGGTGACCTCCAGGAGAATCTCAGCCAGTTGTAAAAACACCAAAATCTGATATGATCCAATAGAAAAAAAAAACCAAAACCTCCCTGCAGGAATAGTCTTTTAAATTTCCAACCTCAGTCTGCAAGGAGGGGAAAAGACACAGCAATTAATACAACTTTGAAGTGGATCCTTCCAGGCAAAAAAAAATGTGGTTTATTACTTTTGATTTCTCTTGATTGATCCATTTTAATAGACGAGGTGCTGAAAAAACCCAAGGGGTAAAAATCTGAGGTAGCCTCTTGGGTAGCTTTTCAGTTAATATAGCCCAGCTACCTTATTATTTGGCTGCCAACACGGCTGCTGGCTTGTGTTTGGGTTTTTCCTTCCAGAAAATGTTTGTGTTGTGGGTTTTGATTGGTTTTTTTCTTTAATTGATTGATTTGTTTTCCATTTGCAAACCCCACGTTTGGTTTCTGAGCTCGGTAGGGAGTGAAGACCCCACTCCTCCCAGCTGGGCATGGACCTGCTGCTTGCCTTGGCAGCCTGTGAAGGTTGTCCTCGTGGATGTGATGATCTGATGGAGACCAGGGTCCCTTGTAACCCCCCTCGTTGTGGTTGTGTCTCTCTGTCAGGCTCAGAGTCTTCCAGCAGCGCTGGCTCCTCAGGATCTCTGTCACGACTTCATCAGCCTCTCCAAAGTGCATCTCTTGTCCCCGGGGTCCCAGCCAGCTCTTCAGGCAACGTGTCCTACCCAGAGAATGGGATGAGTGGCCAAGTGGCCCCCAGCAACACCAGCTATATCATTCTTCCACTTGAAGCTGCAGGGATCCCACCTGGCAGCATCCTCCTCAACCCACACACAGGTCAGTACAGAAGCCCAGCAGCATGGGGGGACCTCTGGAGATCATCTCATCCTGCAGGTCACCCACATCCCATCTAGATGGGTTTGGGATCTCTCCAGAGCAGGAGACTCCACAACCTCTCTGGGCAGCCTGCTCCAGGGCTCTGTTGCCCAAAGAGGTTTTTACTTGCATACCACGTTCTGCTCCCTGATACTGCCCTTCAGTGGGAAATTTCTTGTTTGTAGAGATATTTTCCTTGAAGCCCTTGTTGAGGAAGCAAGTTGCAAATGTAGAAATGTAAAGAAAAAGTAGAAATGACATAGGGCAGGTTGTCTTTTCAAACCTGCAGGCAAAACTGGATGGGTTTTCAGAAGCTCTTGTGGCATGGTTGGTGGGAAGTGATAGAAAAAACACTCATGGGATCCCAGACAGGGTGTTCCTCTTGTCAAATCCTGTCACTCCTTGGCTGTGAATCTTCTGAGAACCTGTTAGCTTCAGCAAGGACAGATATTCTTCCATGTCAAGCCTGCTGAGATAAGAGTGCCACCAAAATTCAACGTCAGAGTCTCAGAGCTGGTTTCTAAAGGCTTAAAGGCTGTGTTTGAATTAGCACTGCAGGGTGAATTTTGAGCTCTGTGATTAGCAATTGTAGTTAAATGGGAAATTTTCTGATAAGAGAAAGTTGTAATCTCTCAGTCCATTATTTTATGTCTATTACACCCCTTTGTTCCAGTATTTTGGTGCAAATGCATAAACTTTATTCATGAGTCTACTGCTAAAAATACCTTTTTTTTTGGTCAGTATTTAGACAAGAAAAACTGAAAATTTCAGCATTTGAGTTAAAAAACAGCCTTGACAAACCATTAAACCAAGCTTTGCACAGATATTTAGAGGTAGTAGTGTCTGAGGCTCATCAATATGTATCAGCCTATACAAAATTAGGGAGGAGTTCTTGTTTGTTTAGCTTCAAGTGTGTTCTTTCCAGACAGGAGACATAGAAACTTGCACAAACTTGTATTTTCTAAAGCCTTTACTATTTCTGTGTACTTTTTTCCCAAGCTGTTACATTCTTGCCAGGAGAGCCTAATGCTGTCAGCATCTCTGGGGGTTTGGGATGTCTCTTAAAAACTCAGGAGATAGGACAGGAGGGGAGGTGGGCATGAGATAAAGCCCATCATTATTAATTGACTCCTTTTTATTGGGGGGTTGTGGTGGTTCCTGGCCCTGGCCAGGATGGAGGCTGCACCTCACCACACCTTCAGGCCACAAGAGCTGTTGAAGAGGAACATCTCCTACATACCTTTGGTCCATTTAACCATCTGCAGCACTTAGCTCATATTTTCCCCTGGTACCCAGAGAGGGTTCTGCTGCCCTTCAACACCATCAGCTAGACCAGGTCACCTCATCTTCCCTCCTCCTTGTCTGCAGAGGCATGAAAAGATCCATCTGTGCTCTCATGGTGAATATTTGTGGAGCCAAGTGGGTTTGTGTATATATAACTTTGTGTTTCTGTCCACCCCTGTGCTTTATTCTTGCAGCTCCCTTGTAAATCCATAGAAAACAAAGCCAGCCAAGGGAACAGATTCTTTTCAAGACCAAAATTCTTGTCTCAGAGCTGTAGCTCCTGGCTGTGCTGGGAGCCAGGCTCCCCTGCAGTGTCTGCTGGGGGTTCAACCTGCAGCAAAACACAAGCTGCAGTTTTGTCACTCCCTGGGCTCAGAATCTTTGCATCTTATTAGGCTGGTGTGACAAAAGCAGCTCCGTGGGGAGGAAACTTGGAGTGCTGGATGCTGTGATGGACTAGCAAAGTGATGGATGCTGTCAGAGACATGGATGAAGAGAAGACAGTTTAAAGAAAAGGAGAAAAGAGCTTTGTTTCCTCTAATTAATAGATTTTTCTTTCCCTGTGCATTCTTTAGTTCTTTCTTCTCTTGCAGAGTGGCTACTTCCAGTCTTTTGCTCTCTTTTGATCACAACACTGTGTCCTTGAAAGATCTCTGCTTCCTTTCACCCTGCAGAGTCTTGCACAGTCAGTGACTGATGGCATCCATTGCTGCTGGCTCTGATTGTTCCTCTCAGCTCCTTCTCAGGTGGTGACAATCCTCATGTTCTTCTCCATCTCTGCAGTTGCCTTTGTTTCCTCTCCTCTGCTTTACCCCTCTCCTTCCCCAGAAGCTTCTTGGGAAAGGCCCCTTTCTCCAGCTCTGCTGGTCTACTCTCTTTTCCACCCACTTCCCCAGGCTGGTTTACCCTTTGAAGGATTCCTCTTGACACTCTCTGACTCAACACTTTTGACAATTTAAGAGCATTTGTGCTTCATTCTTCCTCCTTTAAATGACTTTGCAATCTTTGCCCTTCTATCAGGGCCACAGTTCACAACTTATAAATGTCCTCCCTGGTACCATCTGAACTCTCTTTTTGTTATTTCAAGATTTCTTCATGAAAGGTCTTTTTTTTCCCCTCATCTTTAAAAGGGTGAAGCTTCATTACTGAACCTTCTCTCTTTCAGTGCTGTCATCCTTCCCTGAGCCATGAGAGATGCTCTTTGCAGCTTCCCTGGAGCATCCAGCATCTGCCTGTTATCCCACTCCCCCAACCTGACTTCCCCAGCCTCCTAAATACTTCTGGAGGCTGAGACTCCCAAATCTGAGAAGTCCATGCAGTTGGCACTCTGGGTTTGCAACCAAAAGCAGGAGATCAGGTAGTGGACAGAACTGCCTCACACTTCTCTTCCACTCACTCTGCTCATGACCTTTCTCACCTAAAACATGTGAAGCAAGATGTTCAGCAACTTAATAGAACTTTGGACAGAAATTGTCCTGTCTCTGAGAGATTTTTCAAAGACATCTGAAGCGTTTCTTCCTTGATAACTTCCAGTGCTCATAACTTCCACCTCTAATTTCACAGGGCACAGCTCTCAAAACTACAGCACTGTGTTGAAATTTAAAGTATAAATAAATCAGTAACAAGGGTGAGGTTGTGTTTTTTTCTTCCCATACAGACTCCAGAGTGTCAGGATTAGTTCTGTTCATTTGACTGCTACTGTGTGGCAATAAAAGGGACGTGAATGTTTTTGCTTTTGCTCCAAAGTTTGATTTTAGTATTGATTCATTATTGAATGACTTCAACTAACCCTTGCATCTGAATCATCTAACAGCCACGGTAACCTTCAACCCATTTCTTGGAAAGTCATAGTGTCAAAACAAATATCTGCCTTGCCTGAGAAAAATACAATTAAAAGGAGAAATCACAACCAAGGGATGGCAAATACTGGAATGAAACATTGAGAGTCACAAGCACTTTACTGTTGTAGCAGGTCAGCTAAAGAGTGATCAGTTAAAGCCAAGCTGTGTGATTTCCCAGGAAAAAATAGAAATAAAACAATAGAATAAAACACAACAGGATAAAAAACACTCTTAAAAGTGCTCAGCAAGAGGCAGGGGGTGTTGTTTCAGGTCAACCCTTTGTAAATCCTGATGGGACCCCGGCAATATACAACCCTCCCAGCAGCCAGCAGCCCATGAGGAGCCAGATGGTGGGACAATCTCAGCAGCAGCCTTCATCCCAGCAGCCCCAACAGCCCCAGCAGCAGCTGGCCAGTCACCTTGTCACACAGGTAGGTGTTGCTCCCAGAAGAAGCTCTCGGGGAGATGGAGGGTGCAGGAGTAGAAGGATGCAGCTGGAGGAAAGATCAGGATGTTCTTTTCTTCTGAATTAAATGGGGGCTGTGGTCTGTGTTTGTAATGGGGGTGAAGTGGGGAGGGAAGATTCCTTTCCCAGTTGCATCTCAAGGGCTGTTTCATTTTGAAAAGGGCTGTTAAGAGAGTTGGGGGGTGTCTGCATAAACTGACTTGACAAAGATCACTTCTAAAGCAAAGCTGAAGCATTCAGTCTCAGACTAGAGCAGTCTCTTGATTATCCTAGACTGGTTTGGGTGGGAAGGGGCTTTTGAAAACCATCTTGTCCAATCCCCCTGCAGGGAGCAGGGACATCTGCAGCTAGAGCAGGTTGCTCAGAGCCCCATCCAACATGGAATGTTTCCAGGGATGGGGCTTTGACCACCTCTCTGGGCAGCCTGGGCCAGCAGCTCACCACCCTCCGTGTTAAAAAATTTCTTCTTTTTATCTAGTCTGGATTTCCCTCTTTTAGTTTCAAACCATCACCCTTTGTCCTGTTGCAACAGGCCCTGCTTAAATTTGGTCCCCATCTTTCTGATGGGCCACTTTAAGTACTGAAAAGCTGCAGTAAGGTCTCCCTGGAGCCTTCTTCAGGCTGAACAACCCCAACTCTCAGCCCTTCTAATAATTCTCTCCATAGAGTCAGGGACCTTTCCTGTGGATTTGAGTCAAAGAATCAAGTACAACACAGGGGTCCACAAATTCTTCCATGTCTGGTTATGTCAGACCCCAT